TATAAAAAAATATATATTATATATATTTTATTTTTATATATCATCATTTTTCCATTTAAAAATTGTAGCAGAAATATCCTTTAAAATATGTAACTATGCTATTTCATTACATACATTTTATGCTGTTTTTCACATTGCATATATCAACATTATGCAGTCATTTTTGTTTAGGGGGTAAGTTATTAAAATCTTGGCATCTTGTGTTGCAAATCACTAATACATAAAATACTTCTATTTAGATAAAAAGCTGAACTTGCCCATTTAATGGGTTTAATATATAATTTAAAATAATTTACATAGAAAGACTTTCCTCATGAATTGGGTCAAAAAGGGAAACTTTTTGTTCTGTGGGATAGGGGAAGGAAGGAAGCAGAGCTAGAGTGAACTCCATTTCAAGAAAACTGAATCGGGGTTTTCCTGCTTGCCGGCTGCGTCTTTGATTGGGTTATGTCAGTTTTCCTTCCAGGCACCAGGTGAAATTGTAAAGGATCTGCCAGGCAGTTGGCCAGAGGAGGACTGCCGCGGTGCTCTGGCTCCTGCCCTCCCTGCTGACCCGGGGAGCTAGGCAGCTGATTGCTCTGGCATTCTCTACAGCCTGGTGTTTTTCCAGCAGCTGCCTGATGGGCTATTCATACTTCAAAAGCCCGATTGAAATTTCCTGGCAATTTAATATTTTGTCCACACTGTCAAACAAAATTTATGAAAAATACATTTTCCATCAGAATATTATTGCAGATAAAACCTCCTCACCAGTTCTGTTTTAAAGTGAGTTAGTGTTGCCCCTTTTTAGCACCTGAAAGTATTGTGAAGGGATTCTGTCAGTTCCCTGCATGCATACACACGCCCATTATAAACGTTTATACATTGAAGTTAGGATTCAAGGCACATTCTTAGGTTTCATTTTTTGCACAGTTTCTTTTCCAATCTTTAATTGTTGTATTTTTAATGAATTATATACAGGTGCTAACTGTGAAGTAGTATCTAGTTAATACAAGTAACAGAAACTAGGCTGAAGTACAAAGCCTGTTTCTTTTTATCTGTTTCTATTTCTCCAGTCATAAACCCAGCACTTTTAGCCAAATGCTGTGTTTGGTGGTTTATTGGAAAAAATTGCAAATCTGCTTTCCCACAAGGGATCTCAGCCTGACTGATACAAGTATATCTTATTTTCTTCAACATTTTTGTTCAGGAAATGTAAAATCTACAGCCCGAGTGACTTCCTCCGATGCTGCTATATGTATTAGAATCAATAGTGATCTCCTAGGCATGTAAAGGCCAGGCAAAATAGTGAGATGGGAGTTTTGAAGGAAAACTCAATAAAAATGGCAATGTTGAAGTAACAGTTTGAGTAGCAAACATTTAAAACTGTAAATATTCCATATTTTATTCTTCCTCTAGATCCAGTTCACACCACTTGTATGTGCTCATTTGCCTGAGTCATTGAATTATCTAAGTATTGTTTTGCTAAGCAGAATTGAAGTAGGCTTGAGCAAGCAGCTCCAGTACAATTAGGTAAGCTGAAAATCAAGCAGGGCAAGGGTTAAAACAATTGTATCTTGTTTTTTTTTTTCCCCTCCTTGTTACAGGGCGAGTAAATTCAACTACTCTTAGTTTACAAATTCTTCGAGAACAAGGGTTTGTTGGAGAGATTGCAGTTCAGCTGAGCACCGCACCTAACTTTGAACTCCCCCTCTCCAACCAAGCAACAGAGAATGAGGATTATATACTGGAAAAGAAGACAATCATTATGGCAGAGAACGCAACAACAACTTCTGTTGTAGTCACTATTTTGCCTGTGAGTAGTCTAACAACAACTTTAGGTAATAATGTCTTTTAAGGAAAGGGAAAAGTGTACTGTTTCTACATTAGAAGTAGGATTTAGCATTCTACAAATGGCTGAGGTGGGATTTTTGCCTCGTCAGATGTTTGTATATTAGTAAGAATTGCAGCCATGTCTTTCAAAAGAATTCGAGTATTCATCACTGAGAATGAACCAAATTCTTTGTTTTGTTGTAGTCCCAAAATTAACATATAATAACGACAATGGAAAAAATTATAAATGTCTTAGGTGCTTGCTGTTTTTTCAAATTGTTGCAGGTTTTTACAGAGGATTTATTTTACTTAACATGTCTCTTAACAGATTTGTTCTGTAGTTCAGGAAATGCTAATTTTTCACCAAAAATATGTATATTCTTTAAATATATTCAGGATGGAGGTATTGCTTTTCATATTCTGGCTTGGTTTTTGAAATCTAGCTACGTTTCTTATAGACACAAGTAGTCAGCTTCCTGCATGTATTACAACTTACAGTGTTTCATTAAAAAAGTGACATTTGAAAATATTTTTGCAGGACAATGTTCCAGAATTACAGGAAGGATTTATAATCAATATTACTGGTGTGCAACTGGTTGATTCTACCACTGGAGGTCAGCCAAGCGTGAAGAGGCTTGGGTTAGAAATAGCTGAGATAACAATTGAAGAAAATGATGATGCCAGAGGCATATTTAGTTTCAATGTTACAAAGGTAAGTAAGTCTGAATGAAAAATAGTTAAAAAGCATTCCATCAGGAGAGTCTGTGTTTTCAGACCAGTTTTGATGGTGTTGTAATAGGCTTTATGACACTGAATTGTTCTGGATAAAAAGGCCAGATACCAGACAAACAATTCCTTCTTAAAAGGTTCTTCAAAATTAATATGTTAAATTTATTAGGGAGCTGGAAGTGCTAAAACTGGTGTCATAGAATATTCTGAAAAGGACCTCAGGAGGTCATCTAATCCAGACTTTTGCTCAGAGCAAGGTCAATGCTAAATTCAGACCAATTTAGAGTGATAATGTATTTCTTCATTTATTTTTACCTGCAAGTCAATCTGAAAAAAAAAAAAAAAAAAGGTTGCTGTGTCACTCAGCAGGTTCTTGTTGAATTTATAGGATATAACTGGAGCTGTTGCTGGTTATGAGGTACCGCCACCACAGAATATACTGAAACTTCCAGTTGTTCGACAGGCTGGGCGGTTTGGGTCAGCAACTCTGTATTGGGAAGCCATTCATTCAACTGCTAGCTTTGAAGACTTCACACCGTCATTTGGAAACCTTACATTTGCAGATGGGCAGGTATGGGCTTGCTGAAAGCTTAACTGTCTCCAGGTTTCTAATGTTTTCTTCCAGTAGAATTTGCATCTTTTCATTGAAAACATTTTATTTATGGCCTTATGTATGTGAATGATGCTCCTGACTTCAGTTCTTTAACATGGAAAAGCAGAATGTTCATATGCATTGACCAAATAGGGTTGTATGCCTTTGGTACCTTCACAAGTGAAGACATAATTTCTAATAACAAAGCCTGTTACACTGAAAATTTGTAACATAACCTGTCTTCTCTATAAATTCTCAGAATAAGCCTGTTATGTTTTCTTAGCTGTGTTCTACATATAGTTTTAAATTTCATGCTGCCCCTGACAATACTTAGTGTACACAAGGGGTCTTGATTTCAAGTGAACAGTACTGGGCTTTGGCAAATAGAAGGATATACTTTGTGAGCAGAATTTTGGCTTAAGTACAATATTGTCTACCTGCACTTTCTACTGAGTACCAAAGCAGAGCAGTCTGCTGGTTTTAACATACAAGATATACATTGATGGACTTTAAAACCACTCTTGACATTTTGTTACCTTATTATAAATACAGAAGTACCATAAGAAATAAGCACAACCGGACAGTGTGTGTTTATTAGATAAAATTTACCTATTTTAAATTTCATATTTTTTCAAACAATTCACAGAATATTATAAATGAAACTTTGTTGCTCTTTTTTTTTTAAACAATTTCTGCAGGCTACAGGAGAAATAGAAATTACAATCATAGATGACAGTGATGTTGAATTCCTTGAGATATTCAAGATTGCCCTGGTGAGGGTAACAGGTGGTGCAAGACTTGGGGATGACACCCTGGTAGCTGTTGCTATTCCACCAAATGATTCCCCTGTTGGAGTATTTGGGTTTGAAGAAAAGAATGTGAGTTTGATTTGGATTGCACTCTTTTCTGCTAAAGCTGGATAGTGGGTTTGTGTCACTAACGCATAGCCAATTTCGGTAAGCCTTAATTGCAGTGGAAGACATGACTTCATTGAAAGGCGTATTAGTGCTTGTCTTCATCTAGCTGTGTAGGATGGTAGTAACAATGAAAGTGCTGCTGCATAGATGTAGATTTCTGCATGACTGAATCAATTTAATTCAGTATGCTAACAATTCAGGACATCCAGGTAGGATTTTTGGTAGTCTGTTGAATATTAAAATGGTTTTGTAATAATCTGTATTACTGAAAGTAAAGTTTGGAAAGAAATTATGAAACGTATCTCATCTTAGTTCTGTCAGTGAATGACATTTTGCTGGTGCTGTGCCTGCTTGTGACTCATTGTCTGTAATTGTTTTGAATCATAGGGCATACAGAAATAACACAAGTGACTAATCTTTGCTAGCAGAATTCAACACATTCCTTACGTCTATTATCTTCCTGTTGCTTTTCACTCTTGTCGTTATTTTACATTGCCATTGATAATGTTTTTGTTGTTTATCTCAAGTCAGTATTGATGCCTTTTGCTATAACCTTTCCTACTTCCTCCTTCTCTTTCTTCATCAGGTAGCAGTGAAGGAACCTCAGACACCTGATGACCCTGCTGCAGTTGTATTGCTCACTGTAAGTCGAAATCAAGGAGGACAAGGAGCAGTTAAAGTGTTATGGATTCTTGAGGAAGCAGCCAGATATGATCTGACCCCTCTGAATGGTACCCTCCACTTCAATGAGGTATTTCTGATATTGCAATAAATTATTTACTATTAGATTTATAAATACTTTCTTCTTCTTATGTGCGTTTGCATGATTGTTGTTACGTGTTTATAGAAGTAGGGGGTTACTAAATATTATAACAGTAGGAAAAAGCCAGTTTGAACTGGTGGGGTTAGCAGTATGCAGTGTTTTTTCAAACAGAAAAGGAAAGCTGACATGCTCTTTTTAAGGCAGCATAATGTAATCATCAGGAAGGAAGGCTCTTCAAATCTGAATTGTTTTTACACTTAAGAAAGAGGAACAAGAATATACTGAATGTGAAGAATGATTACAGAAACATATATTCCATTGCCGTATCAGATAACTGAAAGAGAAAATTGATATTTAAAGGGTGAGAAGGATAAACAAATGCTTAAAATTTGCAGATTTAAAAAAACAAATAATAAAACACCCTAGTAACTTTCAAACTGGACAGTGTTATTTGATTTGTGTTTCGTGGCAGGTTAAAACTCTGAAGTAGGAGCCAAAATATTGGATATTGTCAAGCTATTGTTGTTATCTTAATGTTGTTGTTTTAGAGTCTACTCAAAATATTTAATGAAGAAAAGTGTTTTAACATAAAGCATAACCTATTCTGTCTGTAGAAGGCTATTTTACATTACATAAATAGGCATTCTGGTTGTTTCTTCTACTTTTAATCAGCTGGAAAATAGCTTTTTTGGTAAGACTACCAGTATTTGGCAAAGTTCTGCTATTATTTTGCTATTCTTTTTCTGCTGATAGGCCTGGACATTGTTTTTGCTTCCTGAAGTTCTTATATATGCATACATGTAAGAATACATGTATGTACGTATGGTGTATAAGGTTATACAATGTATACCTACTTTTTTCCTATATTCTTATTTTAAGCATTTGCTACTGCCCACTGACAAAAATGTGGATTAGACAGAAATTTGCTATGACCTAATATATCTAATCTTAATAATGTTAACCCTTAGAATGTATGTATTCTATTGAATATTTGCTTTCTGATGGAAAAGATTTTGTATAGAAAGTTTCCTCTAAGATGAAAACATCTATGTGTAATTTCAATCGTTACTCAGTTGAAAATAGCTAGGGTATTTTTGGGGTGGCATACAATGTTTGAGAGACAATTTTTGCTGTTTATTAGTCTGTGAGAAAACATTTCAACCAGATCAGAAATGTCATATTTAAAAAATCTTACAGATTATATCAAGCATATGCATGCTTAACACTCAATTTGTTAAAGAAAAAAACCTTTTTTATAATACTGTATTTTCTTTAGTTTCACTTAATGTATATATAAGTATCTTCTGGTCTTTACGTGATGCAGACTGAATCCCAGAAGTTGATTGTTTTGCATGCGGTACAAGATGGTCTACTGGAGGGGAATGAAACATTTACCATTCAGCTAGTCTCTACTGGTGATGCAGAGATATCCCCTGTAAATGGTAAAGAATTAATTCATTACAGTCTATTTTGAGACACTTCATATGAGAATTCTAGTAAGTCTGTTCATATTATTTTAGTCTGGAGTGCTTACATGTTTTGTGTGCAGCTAGTTGGTAGCAGTTTTGACGTCAGTCTTTTTCCCTAAGTTGCTTCCTTGCCTGAAGAAATCAAAGAGAATTTTAGATCATAATTTTTTATTCTAAATTGGTGTAGACTTCTGTGTTCAGATAGTTAACGTTGTCCATAAAGAATTCTTTAATAAAAAGAAGAAAAACCAAACCCAGGTTCAGACATGTAAGAGTCATAGAATAATTTCATCTGTAAGGGACCATCCGGGGGGTCATTTGGTTGAAAACCCTGCTCAAGGAACAGGTGATTTAACAATTAGATCAGGTTACTGAATGCCTTGTCCACTCAAATTCTGAGTATCTCCAAGGATGGGGATTCCATGGGCTCTCTGGGAAGCCAGTGCTTAACCACTCATGTCACAAAATTTGCAAAAGTTAACTCATTAGTTAGTTGTCATTTACCATGAGAAGCTTTGTTCTCTTCATAGGTGTTGCAACCGTCACTATTGTGGGCGATGAAGGAGCTTCCGGGGTGGTTGGGATAGCCCATTCATCTAAGCATGTTCTGATTGGAGAACCTTCGGGAAATTACAATGGAACTGCTCTTATTAGGTAGGTGCATCACTCATTTTTCCAAAGGAAGGACAATAACTCAGTTTCAAAAGCTATGAGACTCCCCATTTGGCAAGAATTTCTTGAGTGCTGCATTTCATTATGACTTCTAAAATCAGAACTATTTTGAAAATTAGATGCTTGTTTTTAAAGAACAGCAGAATATAGTATGTAAGTGTCTTTTCAGTATTACTGGGGAGCTCCAAATATTCCTCTCAGTCTTCAAATTATTTACAACATTGATGCATTAAAGGAAGGAGGGTTCTAATCAAAGGAAGGGGGGAAGGGAATCAATGACATTTGAAGATGCTTTGTGCTTTTCAGGATTCAGTTCAGGATTGGTACCTGAATTGTATTTCAGTATATTGCTATGATGGTTAGCATAACCAAAGTGGGAACTGGGTTTTTAGTTGAAACAAGATGCAATTATTTCACTACATTCAGTCAACTGAAAACAGGATGAAGAAATGAAGATGTTACCGTACCTTCTAAGAGTATTGGAAAAAAGGATTACGATGCTTTCCCTTGGTGAAACAGCAAATAGAAGCAACAGAACAGCTTCTCAAGTTGCTCTAAGACTACGCGATGCTTTGTGCAGCGGTAGTTGTAGATCATGTAGTAGCTCATGTTAAGTATAGACAATTTTTGCCATGACTTAGTTCACCAAGACTGATGTCATGAGTAGGATTAGGCCCTAGGTTTTTAGACAAGTAGGAGACAGAACGTTCCTCAAGTGATCTTGTAGTAATATTCTAGTGTCCTTCTGCCTTAAACCCCAGATTGCCTCTGGACATTACCCTTAAGTCCCATTTCCCTTCTGTTTGGCATGTCTATCTCCAGAAAAGTAGAATGGAACCAAGAGAGCTCAGTTTTCAGCCCCCGCCTTTGGGCTATAGGTGCAAAGAAACTTTAAAGACCTCTCAGTAAAAATACAGCTCAGGACGCCTCCCAACACAGGGAAATAAAACAGAACTGCAGAAATGTTATTGCTCTGAAGAGGGAATTGTAAAGATCTTAATAGTGACTTAGTATGTTAAAACTCAAGCTTCACAGTGCTGATAACATTTCTTTCATGCACAACAATATGATATACTGTCTCTGGATTGGATATTAAATATTAAAGGTAGAAAATAAAATCTGTGTTTGTGTTCTTACCTGCAGCCTTATACGTGGTCCAGGGATTTTTGGTGAGATTGTTATATATTGGAATATAACACCTGCTCATCACACAGAATTTATTGAGATATCGGGGACCTTGACAATGCGAGATAGGCAGTCTGCAGCAGTTGTTCTAATACAGGTATATGAGAGATTTTACACCAGTAGCTATTTCAAGTACTTCCATTTATTTAGTTAGTATCTTGGTTAGAAATTAGTTATAACTCCCTCCCTGGAAATGGTTTAAATCCTTTTAGCTTTCATTGGTTCTTCTCCCTAGGCTGTAGATGACAACCGTCCTGAGGAGAAGCATTACTACCAGTTTCAACTAACTGGAATCAGTGATGGAGGACTCATAAATGAATCTGGCAGCACAGCAAATATTACCATGGCCGCCAGTGATTTTCCGTATGGAGAGTTTACATTTTCACAGGAACTATTGCAAACAACAGAAGAAGAAAAATGGGTATTAGATTAAAATTCCTTCTTATGTAAAATATTGATAGATATCAATATTGTTGCTAGATTTATTCTTAACTTTAGGGGAAAAAAAAAAAATCAAAGATTTATTTTATATTTATCATAGCACAGTCTCCAGAATGGCTGTCTGAGGCTTTTGGAGTTTTTTAATAGTCTAAGAAAGAAGGCTACCTCCTGAGTTACGTGTACTCTGTACTTACTAAAGCAAATTGTTGTTACCTGACAGAACCATTGAAAAGATGCCTTTAGAACAGTCTCCTAAAGGCAACTGTAACAGAAAAACAAAGCCATTTTTTAAAGAAAATATCCTCTTTC